TAATGTATTATGTTTTTACTTGAGGGGAAAGTAATGGAAAAGTTAGTTTGTGAAATAAAAAGCATGTATACCAACAAAACTAAACTAAGCTTCTTTGAATAAATAACCAAGTTTAAAAATATAATAATAATAAAGTTAGCAAGAGTTGATGGTCAACTTGTCAGTAGAAAATCATTCTTTTTGATGCCACAGCCAAGTTTTAGTTATAAATTATTTCAATGCACTAGTGCCTTGATCTGACCAAATTGCTCAACAGCATGAGTAATGAACAGTAAGATACACCGAAGTAGATATAAGATTGAAAAATTCAGTAATTGTCAAGATCTGAGATAGTGAATCTTACTTTTATTTTGTTATTCATTTATTATTCCCTCAATCATTTAGTTCAACTATGAATTTTTAGTTAATTAAAGTGCCATCTCATCTTTTATCTGTAGCACATTGATTTTGAATATGTATGTATCATGAAACTGACACAAGCTTCTCCTAATGGTGATGTACAGATATTAATGTTGTGAAAGGTTACATAGATTTATGGTAATAGCTAGTTGCATTACATGTAACCTCCTGGTTTAATCACTAAATAAAAAGTCTTTCTCATCTTGAAAATGAGTTAGTTCATGAGACCTAGTTATAATTACTGCTAGTTATTGCTCGATATGGTTTTTTATACTTAGAAGTGGTTTAATTTTGAAACATTGCATTATTCTCTGGTGAATTAGTTTTTTATTCTTCTGGTTCTTTTTCCAAATTCCTTTGATATTTTTTTTAAATTAATCAAATTGAGATTTATGTTGTATTGTTTATTAATGTTTGTACCTAGTCCTGGACAGATACAGGTTTACTAATTATTTATTTGCAAGTGATAAAATTTGTATCCTAGTTCTTTGAGAGTTTTTTTCTTTGGATTTATGTTGTTATCTTGATAAACTGATTTTGTTTGATGCTGGTTGTAGCAGCATTTTGTTTAGTCTATTACAAAGAAACGTTTAATTCAAATTGAAAATTAAAAAAAAACTATGCATTTTTAGAAATGTTAATGATATTCTTTCATGGATATAGGTAGGGAAGAAATACAAGATGAAGATGAAGAAAAAGACTGGTGGTCAGATATTCTGCCTCTAGAAGAAAATAAGAAAATTGAACTGAGTGGGAAACTGGTTCTTTTCTTAGAAGTACTTAACCGATCTGAAGAAATAGGAGACAAAGTGTAAATTACCACTATTTCCTATCCAAGATACTTCAATAATATGAAAGTTTAGCAGTTTGAAAACTGTTATATTTTACTGTTTCGTAACTTAGGAAAAAATATATCTTTATTCAGTTATATTAGTTTCAAAAGTAAAGATGAAGTAATTTGATTTACACTCAATTCTGGATGTATTTTATGAATCAACAAACTTTCTTTAGTTCTGAGAATTATTTTTTTTTGATTGCATTTCTTAAGATGCTGAACTTGTTGGCCATAAGCATAAAGTCACAGTCTCATAACAAATGGTAAAGAATGGCTGACTGATTATATGGGGTATTTTGCACATGCTCTTTAATTCTTGAACTCAAACAATAAATTGTAGAGCCCACATAGCCATGGTTACACCTTATATGTATAAATTTATAGATGACATAAGAGCAATGCATTTTAGGAATCCTGTCTTTAAATTTAAAATAAATACTTATATTTAAAAATAATTTTAAGCTGAATTTATGAATAACCTTAATCATTCAGTAATAGAATTAACAAAAAGAAGTTGATAAAAATGCTTTCTACACTCTGACTAAATGGATTTATTTTGAAACATTTCGGCCTCAGGCCCACTTAAGGCAATTGACTAAGGTGGAGAATCAGTTGGAATGACACAAGACATGCAGGTGTGGAACGAGACAAGTCAATAATACATAACAAAATATGAATAAAACATTATTATATATATACACACACAAAATAGAAATATTTATATATGTGTGTATTAGGGTGCGTCGAATTTACCTAGTCGAAAATTTTATTTTGTAATTGCTAGTTGGCAGGGTGTGCAATTGTTGCCTTTTATTATAAGAATTAATCTTATACAGTATGAAACTCCTCCAATTATATCTTCAACTGGCGCAAGCAAACCAAAGTTTTTAAAAAAAAGTGTATCAACTCTCCACTAAATGAAATAGTTAATCATGAGGACTTAATGGTTTCTAGCTCAAAAGATAAATAAACAAATGAGGAAACCGCTTCCAATGGGACTGAGAGAAGCTGACAGGTACTGTATTTCGGATAGAGCTGCTGCAGTCCTTACCTCAGCTGTTTTGGAAGATATGGGCATTATTCAAGAAAATAACAATGCTAACATTGTCGATAAAAACAAGATAAGACGGGAACAAGAAAAATACCGAGAAACATTATTGTCTTTTGATGAAACAAATTGTATTTACTTTAATGACAGAAAAGATGTAACTAAAATTGTCATTAAAAATGGGCAAAAGCACTGGAACAGCCCATAAGGTTGGTCAGTGAACCTGAATCAGTTTTCATTGCTCACATTTCTCCTTCTTCCGGAACATCAGAAGACTTCTATCATTCAGTGGTTTGAAGATAACAAAATTTCATCTGATCATTTAGTTGCTGTAGGCTGTGACGGCACATACATCAACACTGGAAAAAAAGGTGGAGTTATGCAGCTTCTGAAATTGCATTTAGGAAGACTTGTTCATTGGTTAATTTGTTTTTTAAATGCCACTGAGTTACCCCTGCATCATCTAATTACACATTTTGACAGAATAACTCTATGACTGCCCCCTTTTTTTGTCCTCTTGGAAAGAAACTGAAGACTTGTGAATCATTGCCTTTGTTTCAGTCGGAATTACCAAAAATTGATCATTCTGAGGATCCTAGTACAGATCAAAAATATTTGCATGACGTGTGCAGTGTGGTAGTGTCAGGTCATTGTTCAAGAGAACTTGCTTTATGTGACCCTGGTACAATGAACCATTCTCACTGGTTAACAACAGCAAACAGTATTTTGTGTCTTTATGTCACAACTTCTAACCTATCCAAGAAGCTTAGTTTGTTAGTGAGATATGTAATTGAAGTGTACACAACAATTAGGTTTAATATCAAGAAAAATCCCTCATGGCTCACTGAAGCTTTTTCTACTTGTAAGAAAATCACGTTTTCTTCCTGAATCAGAGAAATATGTGGTGGATAGAGTAATCCGGAGAAATGCATATTTTGCATACCTGGAAACTTTGCTGCTTGCACTGCTTGGAGATGATTCTAAGGCTATCAGACAACTTGCTATTCGTAGAATAGCTGCTCGATCTACTTCAAATTTAAGCACAGTGAGATAGTTTGTGGTTCCAAATATTAATACAACATTAAACTGATTTAATAATGTGGGCTGAGAGTAGAGCCACCATTTACAACAGTTGGTGTCTTTCATTAATCAAAATGACATGCCAGTTTTCAAGTTCAGCATGTCCTGTCACACACAAGCAGTTGAAAGGCATGTTAACAGAAGCTTCAGCAGCTGTTTGTGGCTATTACAGAAGAAAGGGATTCATTAAAGTAAAACTTCAATCTCACAAAATCATGAAAAAATTTAATACTAAGAAACAATACATAATCCAGTAATTCTATTGCCCAGTGGAAGGGTGGTTGGGTGGAACTTGACATGCAACTACCTCCTTGTGGGGAGTTCTGGATAATATAGGATATACAACTCCTAAATTAACTAAACATTGCATATCCAAAGTTATGGTACTTTGATTTCTCATATATATTGATTATGGATATAGTAAGGAAAATGACCCCCCTCATAGCAGTATAAGATATAATTTTAGAAGCCAGAAACTTACCCACATAATTACTACTATTAAAAGGCACCAATTGCATATCCTGCCGATAATGATACAAGAAATTTATATTTTAAATACACCCTAATGTGTATATATATTTATATATATAAGTACCTCGATTTCCATACATTATGTAGTATATTATTCATATTAAAATATCATTTACGATACGGTACTTACCTCCTTTCACAAGATTTGCTATTCTCATTCAGGCTTGTGCTCCTCCCCTTGTTGGAATTATCATATTCCAACATGCTCACATGACATGTGACTCCCTCTATACTCCTCTACCAAATCTTCACTTCTTGCTTGAGTTCAAATGTCTTTTATTTTTGTGCTTTGTAATCTCGTGTAACAACAGAAAGAAAAATTTTTTTTGCCCAAAGTGTTTTTGGGGGAGGAGAATTAACTTTTATTTTCTAACAACCAGTTTATGTTGTTGCAATATATATATATATATATATATTTCCAAAACTCGACCATTATGTACATTATTTTGTGTTATGAATTATAAAGCTCACATTACTACTTCGGGAGTCATACCACTGACCAGTATTGTTTCCCAGGTGCGGACAAACTTATGGTAGATCTTTTTGCTTTCTTACATCAGGAGATTGAACGTTACATGGTCAACCTTTGTCCCCTGACATTGCCCAGGCTCCTCTTGCATCGGCAGACATTGTTCAGAATGATGAGGAGTTTGATTATGTTTTCCCACCTCCAGAGTTTGCCATTCCTTCCCACTTGCTACCTGAGGATTTATCTAGGCCTAATTTGGTCTTCACAGATTTTGTGTCTCAAGTTTGTGATGTTTTATCCCTTTCCCCTATCTCTTATTCACCTCACCCTTCTTTGTTTCATGAAACCTCTTCTCAACCACTTTTGGTATTTCCTCCCTCCCCAGATCAGCAGTTATTGGGTTCATTTTTACCTCTTTGGGGGGGTGGCTCACAAATATAACGTTAGTCTTACCCTAACCAAACTTCTACGGCATCTTTCTTCCACACATCACCTCTCAGAGATTCTTCACAGAAATCCTGAGGGATTTTTTGTGAATACCCTGCACCTTCTCTCCTCCACATTGGCCTGCATTTTGTGGTGGCTTGGGTTGGCTGGTTGATCAAATTGGAGAAATTGTTCCTTTGACCCACTCTATATCTCGTCCATTTGGGCATCTTCAGTCCATAGAAATTTTAGTTCACTATGCCCTCTCGGCTTGATCACTTACTGCTCATGAGGTTCTATCACTTTTGGGGATGTGGCCCTCCATGACTGCACCGGTCCCTCTTGGTCATGCCCATATGAGATCCTTGCAATGGGTGCTTCACGAATGATGGAACCTTGCTTGGGATTCTCTTTCCTTCCCCATCTCCCTTCCTCTTTCCCTGAGAGATGATATGCACTCTTGGCTGGACAAAGCTCATACGTCAACAGGTGTGCTACTTCCTTCCCCGCTTCCGGATCTACGTTTGTTCACAGATGCATCCATTCAAGGTTAGGGAGCATGAATCAATCAAACTTTTAATGGTACGTTGAGCTTTACATCACTTCCTTCTTCTTGCCCGTCATTGTCTGGTGATGGTTTGTTCGGACAACTTTGCGGTGGTGGCACATATCAACCACCAAGTTGGCACTCGGTCCAGAGACCTCTGTTTTCAGACATTGGATCTCTTATACTGGGCCCATGCACATCACAATCGTCTTATCGCATGTCATATGCCAGGTGCTTTCAATCTCGTTTCATGAGAGACATGTTGGAAGGGGGAAGCATAAGGCTTGTGGCATGCGTAAATAAAAGTTTGCATATAGAGGGCAGTATTGAACAAGAATAGCTAATCTTGTGAGCTAATGTATCGGAAAAACATTTTCAGTGTATGAAAATTATAACATTCATAGTGTCAAGCTCTCTAGATGTTGATTACTGTCCACGGTTTCTTTTATATGTTTAGCCTAGGTTTTTGTATGTCAACAAAATTGCTCTCGGCTATTGCTCAGTCAGTTGCATTCTTCACTTTGTCTAAGATCTCTGCTATTAGTGGGAACAGTAAATGTCTCCTATGTAAGAAATTTCACAGATGTTACATGGAAAGTTTTAACAGTATGTTGAGGTTCTAGTGGTGATTTTACTAATATTTTTTTTAACTTCCCAGGTTTTTTTATTAAATGTACATCACTATTATTTTGTCTAATTGTTTTCATACTTCACAGCTAACAACTTCAAAAATAAATGGAGCTACTAACACAGGTTTTTTCTTTCATACTTTTAGGTTTGTTAATGTTAATTTCGTCTTCTTCAGTGCTTTTTTTTTAATACATTCTTGAGGATAATTATTAGTGTGAAGAAAAGTTTTAATTTTGTTGTTACTATGTT